TTTTTCGAAAGGCGGACCTCCAGCCCCCTCCTCCTCTCTGTTTAATAAACCCATATATATATCTATATATATCTGTGTTCTGAAGAGCAGAAGGCTCCACTCAAACAGACGTTTTTTATGGCGTATTTATTCATAAACTTCACCACAGCGAATCTCTGCGAAGATGAGAGATTTCAAAGAGGAGAGGAGCAACGCTCAGAGCCTCTCCGGAGTTTTTTTTTTTTTTTTGCCTTGATATTAAAGGCAAGGATGGCAGCCATCTTTTTAGCTGTTGAATTATTTTGGGGTCTTTATTTTCTACTGTTTCACATTTCACATTTTTCACTCAGAAAACGAGGACCACCGCTCAGATTGTAACACATCCCTTTCATTTTTCATCTTTCCCTCTTTTTTTTCTCCACTATTTTCCTTTCATATTTCCCGTTTACCTGAAATCTGCCCGGAAACAAAAAAACAACAAACAGGATAAACAAAAAGGGAAGGAAAATGGTCCAAACTCTGCAACTTAAATTTTTCTATTATCAGCTCTTCTTGTATTAACTCTGGATTCCACATGTGGAAATAGACAATAAGAAAGGAATAGAAGCTATAGAACTCCTCTTTTGTGTATATTGTAAGTAGCATGTACAAACTGATGTGAGCTATAAACCTGTAGGAGACCGTTTTGTTTTTGTTTATTTTTTCCCAGGGCACAAACGCGCTGGAAATGCGAGACCTTTGCATTTCTCCGTCCATCATATCGCTTCAGCATGGGGCCAAACTGATGCTCTCGCTAAGAAAACAGAAATACATCTTCTTAAAACATGTCAAAGATCACTGCCCTTTTACTGTGCTGTTTATAACATCATTTATCAGTTGAACAAACCTCAACGACAGCTATAGTACAACTGCCTCGCATCTAAGGTTTAAAATGTGTTTTTGCTTTGTCGGGGTTTAGGTTTTCCACCGATGTGGTTCTCGTGTCGAACTTGGCGCCGTTGCTCCATTATTGGAACCTATTGATACCGAATCCAGTACTTTTATTAGATCAATTATATAAACACCATGTCTTTGTTTAGAAAACTCTTTAGCTAAACTGTTAGCCTGATAGCAGCACTACCGATGAATTTCAGGGTGCTGCAGATAAAGACGACGGATGTTTTTTTCAGGTCAAATTTCGCTTCATAAATGCTGCTATATGTTTTACTTTTTATTTTTAGCGTTACGTTGCACAAACCTCGATTACTCAGCTAATTTGGTCGATGTGGCTAAAAAAAATCAGACAATAAAACTACAACGATGAGCAGGGAATGAAAAAAAAAAGCATCATCTGGGTTTTTAGTTAACAGTTAAGCCCCAAAGTTTTTTATTTTTTTTTTCAGATCCCTGGTAGTTTTAGATTTTAAGTGTTTTTTTATTTCATTTTTTTTTTCTTCTGATTGGAAGTTTTGTTTAATTAGGAGACTTTAATTAGCATTTTTACCCAGTGGAAGGCTACCATTAGGGGGGTTTGCTGCTTTAATTCAAACAGGTTTTTAATTTAAAAAGAATAGGTTAAAAAGGATATAGATTATTTTAGACAGACCTATTCATTCTGTTTTTATACAAAAATAAATTCCCCTTTTATAGAGTTTTATTATCTTTTAAAATATCCCCCTCTGGGCTTTAAGGTTATTCCTATTTAAGCGACCAACTAAGATTTCTCCTGTCAGGTGTTATACATGTTTTAGAAATTATAAACGGCATCAAAGTTTATAAATTATCTTGGAAGAGGACAGCTTTGTTTCCTTTTTTAAGGGCCATTTAGGAGAAAAATGGCAGATATCGATGCAAACCTCACTGGAAACAATGTGTGGACTTGGTGTTTCGGTGGGTTTTCCTTATAAATTAAGCTAGCTAAAAATAAAACCGTCACTTTAGCGTTAAAACCTGGTGCTCACCACTTTTTAATCTGCTTTAAATGTTCAGTTTCTTATTTAATTTCTTCTTTAACACAACAGTTTTATTTAGTGCTTGAGTTATAAACCAAGCGGCAGGTAACACCGGGAGTTTAACATGTGAACTGGATTGGTGGATAACTAACCTTAAAGCAAATAACTATTTGGTGTGCAGAAATGTTTTAAAAAGTAACGTAAAAAAAAGGCTCCAAGCAGACAAAAACAGCTTTTTTTCACTGCCTGAATGCAGCGGCTTCCCTGCACGACCAACAGAGAGCATCAGTCACCTTCTGCGGCGCATTTGAGCCTCACAGTGTAACTATTTAACCTAGAATAGACACATTAACGGAGCTCCCCTACAGAGCGAGTAGACCTCGTCTAGCTGTCGCATCTAAATGCATTCCAAATGTACAAAAACTTGCAGCCAAACTCTGTGTGTAGAGTAGAGATCTGTTGGATTCACTGTGTAAACATCCAGGTAGCTCCAGGGCAGCGCACAGACTGTGTGCACATATCGCTCTCCTTTGACTTGTTTGTTAGAAATGTAATCGCCCAGCTCATAAAAGTTCAAGATAAGTTTAGGGGAACAGTTTGCATGTGTTTTGTTTTCCGTCTTCGCCTGTTCTCATGTTAGCCTTGTCGACGTTTACATATCCGATTGCCTCCTCCATCTGCAGACTGTTAAGCGATGGAAGCGTGGAGACCGGTAGCATTTGGTAGGAGCCAGCTGTACCCCTGGAAGTAACCCGGCTGGCCCGAGTGTATACGTACGCGTGTTCCTGTGCATCCTCATTGCCTCGGATGGTAGAATGTGGAGAAATAAGTTTATACCAGTGCCTTCTAGAGTCAGACGTGGGGAAATGTGGAGGTGGAGGGAGGGGAGGAGTGGTGCGGTGGAAGAGAAGAGGTAAGTCAGGCTCGGACTAAAACGGTGTAGCGGGCCGTGGATGTGCCATATGAAGTCTGACTCCACAGGTAGAAGCCCCGCCCAGCTCCTAAAACGCCACCTCAGTAATTGTGACGCATCATTAGGTTCCTGAACGCTGATCCCTGCCACAGGGGGAAAGAGTTTCCCTCCGTTCTCTCGCACTCCCTCGTTTTCAAACATGGAGGAAAACGACCTTCCTTACTGTACGTTGTTACCGTGTCTGTGAAATACTGTTATATTTATTCCTCTTTTATTTTTTGTATGTGGGTTTATGTTTTTTCACCTCATAGTTTTAGGTCACTTTTCTTTTCTTATTTAATGTTCGTTTTGTTTTTTCAACGATGGTTTAAAAAAAAAAAAAAACCTTGCTCGTTTTTTACACCATGTTCACACAGAGATGGTCCAAACTGGTTTCGCCCTCAGTCACCCCTCACATACGCACATCACACGACTTCTTTTCCTATTCAAGTAATTGAATATATTTACTGTATCTCCATGGAAACTGTAACTTCTTGAAAGTTTATGGTCACATGTAACACAATAAAAACAAAATGTCATACTTCATTCCGTCTCCATTTGGTCAATAAGGTTAAAAAATGTGAAATTGATGAAATTACAAAGAATGTTCTGTTATTTTTTTTTTTATATGGGAAAATCAAATATAATAAAGACCCAAATATAGACTTTACAGTCATTTATTTTGCTTTCTGTGTAACAACTGAGGTTTCTCAGCATCCAATATGGCTGCCATAGCTATAAAGGATGGTTATAGATGCAATAATAAAACATTTCAGATTGCTTTAAAGAAATGTCACCAATTAACGATCCTGCATAAAGAGTTTAATTTACTATTTGTATAGATATGGCTTTATCACAAATTTAATCTGGTAGATTTATTCAAACTGATTTAATGTTAATTTTGGGTTTAATTTATCTTAGACCCCAATATTGACTGGAGGATCCCCTCATATAGGTAATCTACCAATTACTAAGGCATGCTTGACCCTAAAAATAACAATGAATTCTAAATGCTTTTATTCAGATGACCATCTTTAGCTTAGATTAGAACTTATATTAACTTATCTGCTACCCACTGGACAACATTTGGAGAAGTGAGAAGGACAAACATAGAAAAAATAGATGAAATCTATATAACATTTGTTTATATTTAAGTGATATCTGTTGATTTTTTTTTATGGATATTAATCATTAAAAGACTTACAAATACATAACAATTTTATTTGCATGTAATTAAAGTTACATAAAGTTAGTAGAAATGCGTAACAACTTTAATGAAATATTTTCCAGATTAAGAGTCGCAGGAATTTACAGTAAATCAAAAGCTTTAGCACACATTTCATTGTGCAAAATGTGAATATTAATCTGAACAAAAAGTCTAAAAGGTGTTACGTCTCATTTCTTTCAGAGCAGGACTCTTACAGAAGGCAAATTATGAGTCTCCTCTGCAACAAGCTGCTTCTTTTTTTTTTTTTTTATTTAAGTAAGCAAACTCGCATAAATTAAAATAAACAAATGGAAATTGCTGCTGTGATATCTAACTCTTAAACTATTTAACTTTTTATGATCCCGGTGTTTTTATGAGCCCAGACACATGAAAAGGTTGGGAACCCCTTGTTCTTTCAACATTAGGTCCATAAAGACACAGTTGAGTGGACTAGATGAACTCTTACAACCTGTGCAGAGTCCTGATCTCAAGACATATAGATCTATAGATGGATCATCATTGGGTTGTAGTCAGTAGAGACTTTGAAAAAGGCTTAACAAATGTGCTTTTAGATAAACGGTCAGGAAAAACTACCATTAACTCATAGATGTAAATCCCTTTATTGTCTCACAATGGGGAAATGAACTCTTGGGGAGCAGTGGGCTGCCATTGTGTGGCGCCCAGGGAACAGTTTTGGGTTAAGGGTCCTGCTCAGGGACCCAGAGTGCAGGCTGTGGGCATCAAACAGGGTACTTGCAACCTTCTCCGAGCAAAAATACATTGCTCTAACCACTAGTCTAACCCTCATAAGCATTCCTAGAAGAGGGAAAGCCGTTACAGCTGCAAACGTTGGACCGTCATTGAATGTAACTTAAGTTGATATGCAGGTAAAGGCAGATGAAAGAATACTTTGGGAATAAAATTGGTGAATTTGTATTAAAAAATCCAAACTGCCACCAGAGGGCATTAGAGAGCCTTTCTCCAAAGATTAGAGAAAGTTGTAGATTATTCTTTAGCCACAAACATTCACACAAACCTGTCACTCTGCACTGAGTTTACACATTTATCTTCATATTTATATCAAACTTTACACATTGGAAACTAAATTATTGTTTTGACATTTTCTATTCTCTTAATATATTGTTATATTTAGAAAATATTGAAGTCTCCAGTGAAGGTAACAGTAACTGAACTAGAGAGATGTGAACAGCAGCAAGTTGGTCAGACTTCATTTGTTCATTTCTATTGTTTGTTTCCTTCGATCAACCATCCCAGCTGACAGTTTTTCAGCCAAGGACGTTGACAAAGGTTGATAAAGCAGAGCTGCCCTCTCTGTACCTCTCATATAACATTTAAACATTTGATATCAGTCTCTACTCTGTCAAATCTCTCCCTACCTTCCTTTATACCTGATATAGGTACTATAGTTATTCCACCATCAATGGCAGAACTAGATGTAGAAAATGATAGGAAATTAAGTTCAATCTAAAACAGCCAAATACTTTATTCTCTCTGTTCTTTGCTCCCATCTGAAAGCTATAAAAAAGTCATCTTCCATCAAATAGATGACATAAGATGGTCTCTGGGGGATCAGTCTATGGTTTGGCTGATGCTGGAGATGATCAGAGGAGCTACGTTTTTGCCGCCATCACTTGAGCAGGGACTGAAGTAAGGATAGAGTTTGTCGCTGAAGTTGCAGTTAGTAAAAGAGAAGATGAGGTGTGCTGCCTCAGCATCAAAAAAGGAAACCAGACCTTCTTCATAATCCACAAATACTCCCACCTTTTGGGGCGGGGAGATCAAAGACAGAGGGACGGAGGGTCCAGTCAGAGCTCTGTAATGGCCGTTTCTTAACCACATGGCCCAGTAGCCATTTTCAGGACAAATGATGTTCTCGCCCTTCCTATTGATGGACTCTCGGACAACTCCTAATTCCCATTTAGTTTTCCCTTTAACCCAAACCTCGTAGTAAAACTTTCCTGAGGAGAAACTCTGTCCTCCCAAAACTCCAAATGATGACAGCCTCTCCGGTTTGTCTGGTAGGGCCTGCTCGAAGTCGCCGCAGCTCACTCTTTTACCGTCATCAGACAGAACCAGGTAGGGATTTGCAGTATTTGGATCCAGAGTCACGTCCACTCCATACAGCCGGGCTCTCTCAAGTTGAAAACCAGCGCATAGCTTCTCCATCTCTGTGCTGATTGTTTCCAGCTGTGCTGTAGCTGTTCTCACCGTCACATCACAGGCGGACTGGACTCTGACCTTGGTCCAGTCCTTGGTGGTAAACGTCGTGTGTTGGGTGTTTTGGAGCAGATGGAAATGCTCTTCTGTTTCTGTCATCTCCTTCAGTACAGACCTTTCCCTCATCAGCTTGGAGATTTCCTCCTCCAGTTCTTTTATCAAACCTTCTGCCTGTTTTTCTATCGCTTTCTGCTTCTCTTCAATCACTTCGATGAAAAGATCTAGAATTTTCCTTGCAGACTCGATCAAACTGGAGCAGTTCTCAACGACGGCGGCTGTCACTTCCTCCCGATCGCGCTCGCTGAGCTTCACTGACTGTTTGATCTGCTCCATCTTTTGGAATCTCTCCTGGATCATCTGCTCAACACCTGCTCTGTTCTTCTCCAACTCTTTCTTCTTTTCTTTACACTCATCTGTCAAAGCGACCAACCGGTGCTTCTTATGGTCGGACGCTGCACAGCCCTGACACAAACTCATCCGATCAGTCTTGCAGAACAGCTCCAGAGGCTTCTTGTGCTTCTCACACATCATTGTCTCCACTTTCCTGACTGGATGGATCAGTTTATGTTTTTTCAAAGCCACGGTTCTCAAATGAGGCTCCAGGTGAGTCTGGCAATAGCTTGTGGCACACACTAGGCAGGTCTTTAGAGCTTTCTCTTTGGGTTTGGTGCACACGTCACACAGAACCCCTCCTGAGCTGGTATTTACTTGTCCCGACAAGCTCCTGGCATTCCTGAAGTGAGCAGCCATCTCAGATTTAAAGGTGTTAATCCGCAGCGCTGGCCTGGGGTCAAACCTCTCTTTACACAGAGGACACTGATGTTGGCGGCTGACGCTCCAATGCTTTGTGATGCAGGACTTACAGAAGTTGTGTCCGCACGGCATGGTGACCGGATCCATGAACGCATCAAGGCAAATGGAGCACAGGAACTCATCTTCAGACAGAAAGCTGGAAGCAGTTGCCATGTTTACGAATCGCAATCCACAGCGAAACCTGTAAACACCAATAATGACCTTTCATACATTGTTATATTACTTTAAAATGCAAACTTTATCAGCAAATCTATTTTCTTATTCATGTCGTTAAGACTCCAATCTCCTAGTTGATCATCTAGAAAAAGAGCTTGTGTAATTGTTGAGTTTCCTGAGTCGCTCTACTCACCTGCGTTTGTTTTATCAAAGAACAAAGAAGGAAAATCACCCAAAGCAGGCAAGTTGCTTTAGTTTTTCCTTAAGGAATGGGATCTATCTATCTTTCCTCCCTTTAAACTCCACCTCTTGTTTACTTTCCTCCACCATACAGGTTTTTGGTGTCATATTGCAGAGGTGATATGAAACCAAACAAGAGGTTCTCTGAATTTTTTTATTCTCCAGCAGTTGATGGTGGATGTTAAGGGAAGGACCAAAGCCTGTTAAATGTTGACCAAGTTATGATCACAGATTGTCTGCCTGTGTTCATCCACAGACAGCCTGAGAGCATTTCCACTCTGGATGAACACCTTCAGTCTAAGTGCTTCTCTTGCACAGAAGTGGTTCCTTCCAGTCAACAGCATTTCCATCAGAGCTAGCTCAGTGCTAACATAGACCTGATCCTTACTGGACCCAAATGCAGAGATGGAAGCTGAAGAGGAATCTTGAATATTTAATCTAGTTTCAAATGGCAACATAAGCTAAAGTCCACAAGCAAAATACTGAAATCCAGGAAAACTCACATGAAGGGCAAGAAATGTTGAGGAACCAGAAAAACAGTAACTGAAGAGGGGAGTATAAATGAGAGACTGAACAAAGACCAGGCTAATCAGCTAATAGGGAGCAGGTGTGGATAGAAGAAACTAGAAGGGAGCTAGAGGAGAGTGACACAAAATGGCAACAGGGGGCAAACAAGGATTCATAAGAATTTGCATACAACCAGAAAAGGTTGTATACCTGTAAATAGAACCAAATAGTACAGAATTATTACACCTCACAAATATAACTTGATTTGAAAAGCTAACGCTAACCTCTATTTTTATGCATTCTTACCCTACAGACACAGTCAGTGGTGTCAAAAGTGCACACATTTGTTACTGAAGTAGAAGTATAGATACTACAGTTTAAAAACACTCTGGTAAAAGTTGAAGGATCAACCTGACCACTTTACTCAATTAAAAGTGAATAAGTATGTGCTCCAAAAACTACTTAAAGTATAAAAGTATAAAGTAACCTTTAAAAAAAACAGCCAGATGCCACTATATGAATTGAAAGCTCAATTTTTCGACTATTTTGAAAATTCTTTGAGATAGGGCCAAGGATGAGGGAGGTCTTGTTGGTCTCCATCTCCTGATACGCTCTCGCCTGTGTCGGACCTTTCAGACATTTCAACATCTTTTTCTGAATCCAACATTGTAGCATGGCATAGATAATTCACGTTAGCAGTTTGAAGAACACCTGCTAGCTTCTGATGATTTTCTTTAGCTAACCAATGAGTGTTTGCGTTATATGACTCATCCAATCACACTAGTTTTCACTAGATGTAGATGGAGCCAATGATCTGCATTGGATGGTGCACATGACGTGAAATAAATATTTATAAACATTAAACCGAGGCCAAAAATAATGAGTAATGTTTGTTTTAAAATTGTAAGGAATAGAAAGTACAGATACTTGTGTGAAAATGTAATGAGTAGAAGTCAGAAGTAGGAAGAAAAATAAGTAATGGAGTAAACTATAGATGCCTAAAAAGTGTACCGCTACTTAAGTACAATAACAAAGTATTTTTACTTTGTTAATTGACTCCTCTGCACACAGTAGCCTGTGATCTATATGGTAGGTTTCGTCAAGGAGAAAATAGTTCCCTCAGAAAGGTTTGACTTGAAAACAAAGCTAGGGAGTCTGTAATGGGCTTTGGTGTAATACCACTGCTACAGACATGAGTTGATTAGTTACTGTAGGATATTAAAAAAAGTTACATAATGTCATTTAAATAGAAAAGTTATCTACGAGCATTAGGACTGCTGCACAGCTATCTGCTACAGGAAGTAAGAAAAATCAACAGATTGAAATTCAATTATTTTTTTTTGATTTTTTTTGGATCATCTTATTATCTGCATACGTAATTATTTTTTAAGCAATACGTCATTACTCGTACTTTCCTCATACAGTGTTGTTCTTGTACAACCAGACTGACTCAAATCAGAGGCTTCTCCAGATCTGCTGTAAGATTGACTGCTGCAGGAGATCCTTCCAGCCCAGGGGTGGGCTATTCCAATTCCTGAGGGCCGAAATCCTGCATCTTTTAGACATGTCCTTGGTCCAACACACCTGAATCAAGTAATTAGATGAATAATTAGTCTGTGTTAGGAGCTAATTCAGCCTTTTGATTTAAGCGTGTTGGACCAAGGACAAATCTAAAAGCTGCAGAATACTGGCCCTCATTAACTGGAATTACTCACCCCTTTTTTAACGTACAGCTAACAGCATCTAAAACAATTTGTAAAAGAAACCCCCATAACTGTTCATCTAGCTGTGCAGCAACGCTAATATTAACTATAGATGTCAATAGCATACTTTAATATATGTATTTTTTGACTAAGAGATAAAGAGAGTTGATGTTGAGCAGCTGGGGGTCACTTTGTATATATTACATACTAATAAGTTGAAGTCTGTCCTTTTATATTTAGTTACTTTGTTATATGTCAGCATTTGTAGCCCATGTAACTAAAGACGTATTTAGATTTCAGCTTCACTGGAAAACAGAACTCTGAGAGGTTTTGTTTTCATCCTCTTCCTCCTAAACATTTTATTAACATTCCCATTTCTTCCCAAATATTGCCTTTGGTCCATCCTCGTGCTGAATGAGTTGGATGTTGCTGTTGCTAGGATACCTCACCCTTAGGATTTCTCATCTAGGAAGGAATAAGGAAGAGCATAGGAGCTGGGAAAATGAAAGATGGGTCAGACTTTAAGACAAGAAGAGGATTGGGAAATAAAAATAAACATCGCAGAAAGAAAAGGCGAGTATAAGTGTTGGATTTAAAGTGATAGATTTAAAAGTGGCTATGCATTGATTGCAGTAAAATAGAAGACAGTGGCTATATAGAATATAGACTGAAGCATCTCGAGTTATAAGTGAGTCCTTACAGATCATATTTTAGATCGGCCATTTTTAAAAGAAATGTTCATTCGGTTATTTGATTGATAGTGTTATTAAAACAGATGAAACATTTTTAGATCAACATCAACCAAATAAATCCAAAATGTATTTATTTGATGTTTATTAATAACAGATAATTTTGATATAAACCTAAACACAGCATCCCTCTACTAGAACCTTGTTTTAACCTTAAAGCATGGAGTTGGAGGTATCATGATTTGGGGCCTTTTCAGTTTATTCTAATATTTTAACAGCTGTTAAGGAGTTGATGAGACTAAATTGTGATTTAAATGGGATCAAATCAATTTCCTTTTAAAGACGAATAAAAACTTCATATAATTTCTTAGTAAGGACCTAAATATCTAACATGCTGTGTAACATGATCTCAATGCTGGTTTATTATTAAGCTACAATTATTATCATTATTATTATTACGGTAGTTTCAGATATTCATTTATATGCTTATAATAGAGATATTTAATTTATTTTTATCTAAATTACAATAGCTTAATAATAAGATTTATAGTAAATGTGCTTAAGGCAAATAATTTTTTGAGCCTTTTGCTTTATGTAGAATATGCTACATAAAATAAGTTGACTGTATCAAACTAGTCCGGCTGTAGTTGTAGGAGTGCCGCAGACAGAGCATGGAGTTATAGATAAAAGATTACTCATGTTCCTGCTTCCTGCTGGACAAAGAAGAGCATCCCACGTTACAATACAGCTCACAATTACGTGTCAAAGCTCTACAGTTTGTAACAAACATCCGAGAAACATGATAAAGTCAATGATTTTAAGACATTGATCGGAGGCCCTCATATTAACCTTGTGCTGCAAGCTGGATTGATCGAGATCTGAGTTTTCAGTCTCACAACATAATCCATCTTGAAAGACTCCCGCTAATACGTCCGTCTCATAACCACCAGCGGGTCGGACCAATGAAAAGCTAGCAGTGGTTTTTGGGCGTAGATAGCATTTACCATTTACCGTGGTGGGGTCCTTGGCAGCCATAAGAACGCACCAAAGGCAGTGACACATGGCCTCAGTAAATTCCTCCCCAATGAATGGTTTGAACTAAAACTGGAATCTCGACTAGAATCTAAGATGTAGTTAAATATTAAAAAATTGATTGATTGATTTGACATATTAATCTGGCTACTGCCAGGTTACTCATATATAGCAAGTACCCATAATCCAAAATTGATTAAAAAAAATGATGCCGTGGCAATTAGCTTTTCGCTTTAATAGAAAAACTAAACTTAAAGGAGTCACAAGCAAAATGCCAGAGTATTTATACAAATGAACCAACCCTGGAGTTTCCCTCTAGAGGAGACACGCTAGGGAAAGCTTGAGGGACCCTCTTGCTGTTTTAGTTCTATTAGCATTAAGAACCAGATTTAACTTCAAAAGTGGGAAGTTAACCACATTAAAAGCTTTCTGCATCTTAGCATCCGACATGTTTTTTCCTAATTCATATATGTACATAAGGATCCTAATAATGAACACTGCTGCGTCTCCATTTTCTTCACAAACCATGTAGCAACCAGCAATACCATTTCTAGCTCTTTAACTAGCCTTCATGTGACGAGAAATTAAGAGACTTCTTTTTTTAGTTTTAAAATAAAAGTTGTCATTAATTTTGTGAAAACTGAGATCTGAAAATAAAAATGAGCAATATTAATGTTGCAACTTCTTAATTAGCAAAGTATTACTAGCACATTTCATTAGAAACCTTTATAGGTCAAAGGGGTCAGGATAATATAACTCCAGCCGTTCCGCTGGAAAGCAGAATCCCTCGTGCCGCTTCTGCAGCTGTATATTTGGTGAGGCTTAAACGGGTTAACACAGATATAATGAGGTAATCCGCAGTGTTTGCAGTGTTGCTGAGGTTGTGCTGGATGCTGGCTCAGCTTTTATCCCCCTGTGGTATCCAGAGAACATAAAGGAAATGCTGCAGCAAGCCGCTCTCATTCAGAGCCCGATTAGTGCAGCGCATGGCGTCTTTTTATTCTGATGTTCCTCCTCTTCTTAAAAAACAAAAAAACAAAAAACTGACTGATCCGAACACCAGAGTCTAACGCTGTACAAATCTGGTGCCCATCTAA